GGGAGGCTTAACCCTTGGCGTCCTGCGCCGGGCGGGGGGGCGGGGGCCGGGAGGGGAACGCGGGACCCCCTTGGCGGGAGAAGGGGGAGGGGCGAGGCGCGGAGGGGGGAGGAGAAGGGGAGGCACTTCCGGTCTGGCCCCCCCCAACCCCCCTCCCCCCTTCCAGAGCCCTCCCGCGCAGGTGCAGAGCGAGGGAGAGCGGGGAGCGGGACGCACACCATCGCACAAGATGCCTCGCCACCGCGTGCAGGGACGCGCGCGGACCGACTGAGCCCCACTTCCCGGGCAGGGACACCACGGTGAGAGAGGCCCCAGGAGGGGACGCGCAGCCCCCCACTGCAAACCGACACACAACGCACCCCAACGCAGTCTGGAAGGGAAGGCCAGACGTTCAGGCTGGGCCCCAGAGCAGTGAGAGACACCCCTCCCCGCAAAGAAGCCGAGGCAGAGGGACATACACACGCCACAGCTCACAGGAGAGCCACAGACCCCCAGGGAGAGGGGAGAGAGGGCGGCACAGGCCAGGAGGGGACCGCACAGCTCCAGCGGGATGCAGGGTGCATGAGGCAGGCCACCGCAGACAGGCTCAAGGAGAGCAGGGGGGAGGCAGGAGGAGGAGAGGAGACACCACTCACAGAGCAGCACATGGCAGCAGACACAAGGAGTGGAGAGGGGAAGGGGAGGAGATGCGCTTGATAGGACAGAGGGAGAAGGAAGAAGCTGAGGGCGAGAGGGACCACCCCCATCCAGCTGGTACAGCAAGGGACCCCCAGACCAAAGCCAAGGAGAGACACAGAGAGACAGTGACAAGAGACAAGAAGCCGAGGCTGGTGGGGAGATTCGGGGTGGGGGGGACCTCGATACTCACCCGCTACCCAGAGCCGGAGACGTGCCAGGTGAACACGCACAGTGGTCAAGCGCCTCGGACACTCGGGGTGCAGGGGGGCACCCCAGTCCCACCCTCTCTCCCCACATTGTCATTCCTCCCCCCACCCCCACCCCCACCCCATCCCCACTGGCCAGAACACAGACACATAGATTTGGACACATTTAATGGAAGGATGCTACGAACAAGGAGACCCTTCCCTGGATGGGGGGAGCGTCAGGGGAGGGGGTCATCTTTCAGATGCCCGGTTATGGCCATCCTCCCCCACAGCCTTGCCCTTCCAGAAGGCCAAGCCCTGGAGTCATCCCCTCTTCTGCCCTCCCCTCCCCTGACACCCCAGGTCCTGAATTCCAGATCAATCAGATGGATGCAAAGGCATGCACACAATTTTATGTGCGAATGGGCACGCACAGTGACATGCACAGAGAGGGACAGACGTGCGCAGAGAGCCGCCTGTCCCTACGTGGTACACACTGACATCTCTGGATCCCTTGCCCTCATTCTCAGACACACATTCACGGAAACATAGATGGGCAGAGCCAGCCGCACGATCAGCCACAATCGTGCGCCATAAATGACGGCCACAAATGCACCCGTCTCTGCAGAGCAGGACAGACCCTCTCGCCACCACGGGCGTATGCACCGGGCTATCCATCTAGGGGCCTCCAGCCACACATGCACACAGACACGTGTCATGCACACCGACAGAGACACACGGGCAAGAGCACACAGGGAGATCTGTACCAGCACGCTCGCCTGTGTAAGACGTTCACGCACGGGGAAACTTCAGTGCTGGTTGTGCACACGCGCACATCCATACACCCCCAGGCACCCCCTTCCTTCCCATTCCTGACCCCTCCCTTCCCCTCCCCTCTCACCTCCCTGGGCCAATCCCATCCATCAAGCTTCCGAAGCAAGTGAGCCAGCAGCCAGGGAGGGGAAAGGTGTCAGTGCGCCCCTCTCCCCACCCCCACCCTGCCTGCCTGGCTATGCCCACTCCCCGCCCCATGCCCAGGCACAGGATGCACACACTTCCGTTGCACATGACTGCACAGAGATGGGGCACATGAAGGAGACAAGAGCCTCCAGCCAGCCATACACACAGCCCGGACCCCCAGGCACCCCCACCCTGCCCCATCCACCCCCTGGGTCTCAGGCTGCCCCAAAGCCAGGCCATCTCAATGGCTCCCAGGGCTAGTTTGGGATTGGGCTGTGTGGTTTGAAGCTAACTCTGCCTTTCCCAACCCCTGGATCAAACTTCAGAGGGAGCAGACGAGAAAGGGGCATACAGGTGGTGGAAATATTTAAGGAGGTTGGGGTGGGGGACGCCCGAGGATGTAAGGACATTTACCTTGGGGTATCAAAGCTGTCATAGGAGCCCACAGTATAATGCCGGAAGAGTCTCTTTGCCTTGTCACTGCGGCTTTCTGTGGGGGGACAAGGGACCACTTGGACCTTCATTCTGGAAACCAAGAGCCCACCCCCAGGGCTCCTGGTCCCAGGCTTCCCACCTACCTCCCAGCACCCCACCCGCCTTGGGAGGGGGAAAGGAAGGGACATGAGAACCCCAGGGTAAATCGGGGACAACTGGGGAGTCCTCATTACCTTGCTTTGCCTCCTGGGAACGGTTTGCCACCTCTTCCAGACAGTCAGAAGGAAACCAGCCGATGCGACCTTTGACCTGGCCTTCCCAGTAGCCGCCTTCCCCGATGCTAAGCACTGGGTGGGGAGCAGGGACAGAGAACTTCTACGTTTCCATGCTGTGCCCCCTCCTCCCGCCCGCAACACACTCTATGCATGGTCCTTCTACAGCTCCCTGCCCCGAACACAGGGCCTGGCCCAAGGGCATCCTTCATAAATGTCCAAGGAAGGGGCGAGGGTGTGGCAGGAGAATACATCCTGTCACTCCTGCCTTCTAGCTTTCTGGATCCCATGGGGACATCAAGAGGCGCTGGGGAAAAGGGCTGTGTCCCGTGACGTGGGCCACACAGGTTAGGGCCTGGTCCACAACGGGTCCTCATCTCCCCTGGTGACCAGTCACCTTTCAGTTGTTCTGTAATTGCCCTAAACCCTCCTAGGCTCCTGGGTCAAGTTCTACACCCCATTACCGCCCCTGCCACCTCCCACGGTCTCCTTGCCGCTTAACCTTTTGTCATTTGCTCTCAGACCCCTCCCTCTGCCTCTCTTGGCTCTCCTGGCTCTAGAAGGGAGAAGAGTTCAGAATCGCTCATCTGGAGGCCCCTTCCCGCCTCCCCACCCCTTAGCCATCCAGCACTCATTTACTGACGGCCTGCATGTGCCCAGTCAGCTGTGTAGCCGCTGAAGGACAGCGATGCACGGCAGGGACAGCTAAGTTTGTCCAGCTCTCACTGTGGGCCAGAACCCTTAGAGGGGGCGCTTTTATTGTCCCCATTTTACTGGTGGGGAAACAGGCTCTGAGAGCCGAGGTCATTTGCTCAAGGTTATGCGGCTTGTAACTGACAGAGGCTGGATGTGAACACAGCTCTGTCTGTTTCCAGAGCGAATGCCTTTAGTCACTAATGTCTTGCTCCCTCTCTGTTTGTTGCTGCTGCTTCTGAGAAGGGCCACAGGAGCAGCAACAAACACACAGTCAGCCATCTCTCCAGCATGTTCCATGGCTCTGTCCCCACTCGGCCCTTCACATCTTCCCTCGCTCCATCCTCACACCTACCCGGATAGGTAACAACCGTTTTCCCTTTTTACAGATGAAAAGCTGAAGCTAAAGAAGAGAAATCCCTTTCTCTGAGATGACTCAAGCCATGCTAGGATGCGAGTTGGGGCCATCTGATGCTTTTCCCTGCTCAAACCAGCTGCCCGGAGAGGACCCGGGGAAACCACATCGAGGAGACGCTCAAGGTCAGGGAAGAGGAGGAGAGGGGGTGTCGGGGGTCTGGGCTCTTGGCTGCTCTACCGTGCCTGGCCCGGTGGTCTTGGAATCAATCATTCATTCACTGAACAAATATTTACTGAGTCGGACACCAGGCTAGACAGCGGGCAGAGCTGTCGGACAGAACAAGTGCGGTTCCTGCCCTCAGGGAGCTTCCAGGCTGGTGGCGGTTAGAGGCGGAACTCTACGGGTGACCACAGGATGGGAGACTGAGGTCATGACTCAAAGGGAAAAGCACAGGGTGTTTGGAGAGAGGCCAGATGGGAGTATATAAAGTCGATGGCAAAGGGGGACCAGGAAGGCGTACCAGAGGACGTGACATATAGGCTGAGACTTAAAGGAGCCGAGGAGCCGAGGAGGCAAAGAGAGGGAGGAAAGTCTTCCAGGCAGAAGGAACAGCATGTGCAAAGAGCCTGGTGTAGAAAGAGGCTCGGGGCATGTGAGGAGTGGAGAGAAGGACGAGGCCCCTGGAACACGGTGGGCGAAGGAAAGAGTGGCAGGAGATGAGGATGAGGGGGTGGGGGCAGGGGAGGGGGTGGCAGGCCCCGCAAAGGCACTGGGCTCTGATGCCGAGAGCAGAGGGAGCCTGCCACCTCACCGGGCTGTGGTGACAGTGACATCGTGGAGGTGGTGTGCCTTGAGGCAATTAAGTGTCTTTTAATGAAAGAGAAGGATGTGAAAACTGGGCTTGAAGTTCAGAAAGACACGTGGAAGATCCCGTAGCCCAGGGTCCCTGTGCCTGCACGGAAGGTCCCTCACCCCGGCCTTAGCCTCCTTTTCTTCTTTCTCACCCTCCAAAGCACAGACCCGACACCACCCCCATGCACGCACATGCACGCACACACACACACATACTCTTTTTCCAGGCACACTGCCCCCAGCCCCCACAGTTAGCTCCTGCATTTGGTCATTCATTCATTCATTCACCCACTCAGCAGATGTGCATTGGGGCCTTCTGTGTGCTGGGTCGTTCAACTGGCCCTGGTGACCCAGAGACCAATACCTTCAGGAACCCAGGCTATGGGGAGACAGACTACAAGACGAATGCGGTTACACAACCCTCCTGGTGCTCCAATCCCTCACTCCCTTCAAGGCCCCTCTCAGACTCTGTCTCCTGTGGGAGGCCCCGGGAAGCCGGGGTCTGTCTCCTCTAAGTGCCCATCGTGGGGGCCGCTCACGATAATGATGGCTGGCGCTTATTCTGTGTGAAGCACTGTTCTAAGCGCTTCGTGTGAGCTGATTCCTTTAATCCTCACAAGGGTCCCATTTTATAGATGAGGAAACTGAGGCCCAGAGAAGTCACATGCCTGAGGTCGCCCAGTTAGGAAGTGGTGGAGCCAGGATTTGAACCCGGACAGCCTGGCTCTCAACCTACACGACTCGGCTACACCACTCGACTCCTCCGCAGCCTAGAGTGGGGAGAGAGTTGCTCCCCCACCTTGTATTAACGACAACACTGGTGGCAGGCTTCCCGTCTCCAAAGCACCATTCTCTCCAAGAACACACGTCCACAGCCCTGCGGTGTCTGCACACGGGGGCTACTGGCACCGTTTTCCAGATGAAGACGGGAAAAATGAAGAGAGGCGAACCCCAGTAACAGCGGCTGCCGTCTGGGGAGCCCTCGGCACGGACCCTGCTTTCCCCACCCACCATCTCATCCGAGTAGGCACCACCACCCCATTTCTCAGATGAGAACACCTGGCCGAGGCAGGAGGGGAGGTCAAGGCCCTTGGCCTCATGCTCCATAAAGACCGTGAGCTGGGACTGGGGACCTCGAGCAAGTCGCTGCCCCTGTGTGAGGCTCTGCTCCTTCAACTGTGTGATGGGCTCATGACACCCTCCTGGAAGGGCATCTGAGGCCACGTGGGGGAGCGCGCCAATGGTGCCCGGCCTGGTGTCAGAGTCCCACTAATGCTCATTTCCCCTCAACACTGTCTCTTGAGCATCATCGCAGCTACACTTTATGCTGCTTGAAGGCAGAAGGGGCAGAGCGCATTGTCACTGATGGTCCCCTCCCTGTGTGTTTAGCTCACCTGTCTGACCCTCGCCCACAGCCCCCTGGCCTTGCCCGTTACCTTTGATCTTCTCGCCCTTGCTCAGAGAGATCTCCCCCTCGGCTTGGGCCTGGTATGACTTCACGGCCATGAAGGAGCGTCCGGGTACCGCTGAGTACAGCTTCCTGCGCCTCCCTCGGCTGCCCAGGGAGCCCCCAGGGCCCCCCGAGCCCCCGGTGCCCCCGGCCGGCCCGTCCCGGGGCGTCCCACTGGAGCTGCATATACAGAGGGTGTGAGAGGCAGGGGAGAGCAGAGGGAGGGGGCACCTCTGGTAGAACAGGGGTCCTTGGAGGAGGGGAGATGGCGCATCAGGATGGGGGAGGGGGGTTGAGTATGTTTCCCAGCTCTGATGTCCTGGTGGGGAGAAGAGGGCATCTGGGGGCTCCCTATGTCTGCCCGCTGCTGCCCCCCCAGCCCCCGCCTCTGCCTCCTGGCTTCCGGCTCTGCCCCCTCCCACGGTCCTGCACGCTCAGCCTGATTCAGCTTCCTGAAGCTGAGCTCCGACTGTGTCATCCCTCAACTCACGAGCCTTCAGCGACTCCCAGCTTTCTCCTGGGTCAGGTCCAACTCCCCTGCCCGCCATTCCCAGCCCGCCACCATCTTCCTCCCTCCCACGTCCTCAGGGCACGCTGGCTGGCCACAGCCTGCCTTCTCGCCTTCCTCTAGCCAGCCTGGCCTCTTTTGGACAGGAGGATGCCCCCTGTCCATCCCTCCCTCTGCTCTGAGTGACCTCTCTTCTCCCCCTCCCACCCTCCCCTCCTCCAGCCTCATCTCCAAGCTTGGACACCCCACCCCAAGTCCCTCGCCTGCCCCCACCCTGTCAGCTTCCTCTCACCTCACCCTGTCTTTCTGTTTGTCCTCAGGGGCTGGAACTGACATTTTGGGGGGGTACTCCCCAGGCCCCTGGCATGGAACAGGTGCTCAGCTAAACTTAGGCGCATTTGGGGGTGGGTGTGAGACTGTGATTCACGATGCCCTCCCTTCCTCAGGGGTCGGGAGAGAGATGTGGAGGCCCAAGGGTGGGACAAAGAACTTGGATGGATGGGGGACCAGAGGAATGGCTGGGCTGACCTAGGGTGGAGCTGTGCTCTGAGGAGGGGACTCGGGTGGGTTGGGGTCTACGGGACCAGGGCTGAGCCCTCCCCTACCTGGGCCGTCCACGCGGCTGCCTCTTGGCCTCCTCGGGGTGCCTCCCACGGGACGGGGAGCGGGCCCGGGCGCCACGGGGACTGCTGGCACTGCGGAGGGTCCCACTGCTGAGCTTTGGGGGGGCCGAGGGCTGTGACTGGCCCTGAGGCCCTGAGGTAGGGCCGGGGGCCCCGGCGGACGAGGTCCCCGGGGCGGCGAACACCATCCAGTCGGGCAGGGCCATGCTTGTGTCACTGTTGGCCCGCAGCAGTGCAGGGGGCACTGTCAGCCCTGCGCCCGGGGGTCCCCGTCGCCGGGCCGCGTACTTGGGGGACTCCTGAAAGGGCACTGAGAGGACACAGTGGCGGGGGGGCAGAGGGAGCGGAGGAGACAGAGACGAGAGTAGGGGGGAAGAGATGGTGGGGGAGAAGCGTGAGGGGAAAAAGACAGAGATGAGAAAAAGTGGGGGGCCTGGAGTCACGCCCCTCCCACTCCTCAGATGCTCACAGTCCGGCAGGGTTTTTTTTTTGATCCCATCTTGGCCCCCAAATCAGGTCTGCCAATTCCCCATGCCACCATGCACCCCCAAGCACCCCAGGTTCTTCCCTTGGCCCCAGCCCCCACTGGCTCACCCACGTCCTGTTCTCGATGGTTTCGGATCAGCTCTCCCAGTTCAAAATTCCCAGCGATCACTGCCACCTGGAGGGAGGGGTACAGGGAGGTGGGGTGGCCCAGGCAGCCGAGAGAGAAGGGGGTAGAAGCACGGTACCGTCCTGGCTGGCTGCTCCCCCGCCTCCAACCCCCCAAACCTTCACCCCAGCATCCCCGCCCTCCCTCCTCTCCCCGACCATCCGCCTGTCCCCAGCACTCCCGAATGTCCCATTCCCTTATCCCCTCTGTGTTCTTCATCTCCCCCAGACCTGGAAGGGGGTCTGTCCGTTGTTATTCTTCACATCTTTATTGGCCCCTCGATAGAGGAGGATCCTAGCGCAGGTCTCCTGAGGGCGACGGTCGGTGGCACAGGGTGAATGAAAGGAAACACACAATTAAGGTGACGAGTGGACACAGGCACAGTGCTAAGAACTTCGGGAACAATCTGGTCCCAACCTGGACGGCAGCCACGCACCACGTGTGGCTTGTGAGCCCTTTAAACGTGGCCAGTCCAAACTGAGAAGGGCTGTGCGTGTAAGGTACACACCGATTTCACGGACTGAGCATGAAAAAAAATAATTTAAATATCGCTAATCATTTTTAGATTGATTATATACTTAAATGATAATATTTTTCGATACAACAGGTTAAGTAAAATATGCTACTAAATTAGTATCACCGATTTCTTTTCTCCTTTTTGTTTAATGTGGCTCCTGGGACATTTAAAATCACATGTGTGACTCGTGTTATACTCTATTGGCTGGCGCTAATCTAAGCCCGGCTTTCTCTGCACTACTGACTTTTGGGGCCGGATGATTCTTTGTCGTGGGGGCCGTCCTGTGCATCGTGGGAGGCTGAGCAGCCTCTCTGGGCTCTAGCACTACATGCCAGTAGCACCCCCCTCCCCAGTCGTGACAACCAAGAATGTCTGCAGACACTGCCAAGTGTCCCCCGGGGGGTGGAAGCATCCTAGTTGACAGCCACCCATCTAAACCTCATGGAGGGCTTATTATGCTGCGTGCCAGCACGTTAGAGGCGGAAGCTCGCTGAGTCGCCCAACAATTCCGTAAGATGAAAACTGCTGCCCCCATTTTACAGATGAGCAAACTAAGGCTTCAGGGAACTCAGGGTCATGTGGCTGGTGACTGTCGGCGCTCGGATTCGAACCAGGTCTGTGTGACTCCAGAATCTACTCTTCATCATACCCTCTGCTAGACCCAGAAGGAAGGGGGCAGAGGGGATTCAGACACTATCCACATCCAGATCAATTCCTTACCAGTGTCAATCACAGCATGTCACACCCTCTCACTCTTTGGATCAAACCGAATGTCCTTGCCATGGCCCAGGAGGCTCCCCCTGATCTGCCTGCCCTGCCACCCCCAGCCTTACTCACTTCATCTTCTACCACCTTCCCTCGCTCTGCATACTCCAGCCACACTGGCCTCCCGCTTCCTCTGACAGGCACGCTCCTGCCCCAGGGCCTTTGCACCTGCTGCCCCCTCTGCGTGGAATTCTCTGCCCCTAGATCTCTGCATGGCTCGCTTTCTCCCATCATTCAGGTGTTTGCTCAAATGCCACCTCTTTGGAGAGTGCTTCTCTGACCACCCTGTCGAAAATAACCCTCTGTCCTGTTCCCTGCTTAATTTTTATTTATTCATTTTTATTTATCTGATGCCTGCCATGTGCCAGGCATTCTTCTAAGCCAGTATCAGCTCATTTCCTTCAAAACGCTGTCTCCCTGAAATTGCATTTCTATTTTACTCGTCTCTTTTGCATCTCTCCCCCGCTACATTGTCAGTTTCACAGGGCCCTGGCTTTGTCTGGGCCACCACCACCTGGAAGGGTGCCAAGCGCCATTCAATACACAGTTGCTGGATGAGGAAACGTCCTCCCCCATTGTCTCGGCCTGGCCAAACCCAACCGGCCCCCAGCTCGACTCACTCCAGCTCCCCTAGATGCTAATTTTTTTTTTTTGTGAGGAAGATCAGCCCTGAGCTAACATCCACGCTAATCCTCCTCTTTTTGCTGAGGAAGACCGGCTCTGAACTAACATCTATTGCCAATCCTCCTCCTTTTTTTTTTCTCCCCTAAAGCCCCAGTAGATAGTTGTATGTCATAGTTGCACATCCTTCTAGTTGCTGT